TCAAAGAGGTTGTTGCTTTCTTCTCCCCTAGGGTTTTGATGGTTTCATGTCTCACATTCAGGTCTTTCATCCATTTTGAGTTTATTTTTGGGTATGGTGTAAGAAAGTTGTTCAGGTTCATTCTTCTGCATGTTGCTGTCCAGTTCTCTCAGCACCATTTGCTAAAGAGACTGACTTTTTTCCAGTGGATATTCTTTCCTGCTTTGTCAAAGATTAGTTAGCCATACATTTGTGGGTCCAAATGTATGGACCCAGGGTTCTCTATTCTATTCCATTGGTCTATGTGTCTGTTTTTGTGCCAATACCATACTGTCTTGATGATTACAGCTTTGTAATATAGGCTAAAGTCCAGGATTGTGATGCCTCCTGCTTTGGTTTTCTTTTTCAACATGACTTTGGCTATTGGGGTCTTTTGTGCTTCCATACAAATTTTAGGATTGTTTGTTCTAGCTCTGAGAAGGATGCTGGTACAATGCTGCATTTTAAGTTATATCTCAGGAATTTTTTAGGCTCCTTGAATCTCTGAGCTGATGTTTTCCATTGTTAGTGAAAAGTTATCAGCCCTTAAGTTCACATAATGGAATACAACATAGAAAAAAAATGTAAAGCTTTATACAAAAATATGAATAATTCCTAGGGTGCATACTGTTTGATTCCATTTGTATCAATATTCAAAAACAACAAAAAATATAGTGTGGTAGAACTATAAAACAAAACAATAGTTAAATTCCATTTAAAGAGAAAGGGTAATGTTTCCTACTAGATAAAGAAAAAGGAGAATGTAGTTAGGAAAAAACACTTTGTGTGGGGAATTTTCTGTGGTTTTGGTAATACTCAATTTCATGACCTGGTTCATTGTCACATGGTTTACTTTCCAATGATTTGAATATGCACTTATGTTTTCTCCCCTTCTCGGTATTTTTATTATTGTTCATCAATATAAAAACTCTGCACCCATGTATAGACACTCACACAGAGGAAATAACAGGGGGGAAATCTGCTTTGGTCAACTGGTCAGGGACAGTCTCTGAACACAGAGAAATTGTTGTTGTTTTAAAAAATTTTTTTTAATATTTTTATTTATTTTTGAGACAGAAAGAGACAGAGCATGAGCAGGGGAGGGGCAGAGAGAGAGGGAGACGCAGAGTCTGAAGCAGGCTCCAGGCTCTAAGCTGTCAGCACAGAGCCTGTTGTGGGGCTCAAACTCACGGACTGTGAGATCATGACCTGAGCTGAAGTCGGACGCCCAACTAACTGAACCACCCAGGCGCCCCGAGAAATTGTTTGATAATCTGAAGGGATTTATTTAAATAGCATGTTGTAAATTCAGCCGTACAGAGGACTATGTACGGACACCATGGAAGTGCCTGCAGTTTACAAAGAGGTCTCTGAGAGCGGTCTTTGTGTTCTGGTGAATTTACCATGGAAATGGAAAAGGATTCTCTAATTTCTCCTTCACTGACGTCACCCTTTGAAGGAGTTCTCCTGGTGAGAGCTAGGTTTGTTGATACACTATATTGAAAGCGTAGGAGATTTTATTTGAGCTGTATGCCATAACAGGGACTATGGGTAGATTATTGGTTACTTCTGCACCCTTGAATCCTAGACTTACTTCCCTAGTCATGTCAATGTCCATGCTCTCTTCTCCAGCCCTTAGCGTCATAAGAGGGAACTATCTTGGGAGCTGTGGACACACTTAGCAATTCTGAGATTCCCAGGGGATCCTTGGGGATAGCAAGTCTCATGATAGAAAAAACAATACACACAGGAAGGCTCCCCAGAGACTTTCTTTTTATGTTCTTTCTTGGACCTGCTCATATTGTCAGAAATTTTCCTGTTTTCACATCTCTAGATAGGGGAGAACCTCTCTGATTTCATCTAGTCTCAGTCACCCAAGGCTATACTGGTCACTGGCCTGAGGAAAAAGAGACAGACTGTTCTGGTCTGGCCATTTTTTCAAACCCCAATTTAGAAGAAACTGTTCTTTCCCTGCTAGATCACCAGTACAAGTTTTGTGGGGACTGGGGAAGCCCCAGGACCTTAAGGCTTAAGCTCCTGGGGCTTCAATGGAAAAGTGCCTGGAGTTCTTCATTTTGTTGACCCTCCTCCTATGTTCTATCTGCCTAAGTGAAGGTCTCATTTCTCAAATCCCGGTGGTGTTCACTTCCAGCCCCATTAACCTATTCAAAAATGTTGTTATGTGAAAATATCACAATTATGAATGATTTTCTGCATATTTTGCTGTATTCCCTGTGTAGTAGTAGAGAAACAGTAGTCTGTGACTTTTTAAAATAATGATAACTGATTGGAAAGTGAATTTCCATTCAAAAAACATCTTTTTTTTTCTGTTTTGCTGTTTTTTACATGACAACATTGGAGATGCGAACCAAAAATGCTAGCACGTGTTTGAAACATCGCCTAATCATACACATAGAGACATAATTGGGTACCTACCTGGTCACTAAGAGTTGAGTATTTGGGCTAATGTTCTGGACTAGTTGTCCTAATTGGAGTACCAATTGTACTCCCAGAATTTTGTGGTGGTGAGAAAAACATCATGAGCAAAGGGGTTCTGACAGATTTAAGTAAACTTCAAAGCAATAGGCCAAAGGGATCCACTCCTGAATACTTTTAAGTCATAGATCTGAAATATATGACATAAAATGAATTCTGTGGGGCCCTTGAGGAGAGTTAGGGGCACTGAGGAAAGGAAAGAAGGGGTCTGGTAAGAAAATCAGGTATTGTGAGAAAACTAAGTCTGAAAGTATGAATTTGAGGGGACTTGAGGAGAAAAGTATGTCAGTTAGGTAAGGTTCATATATAAGCTAGGAATCCAACTTAGTAATCCAGGATCACTAAGGCTGGGAGAGGAAAATTATGCTTTAGGAAAAAGTGGTATAATCATCGCACAGGAGTGTAATCATGGGAAGAGACAGCTTCTGATGAGACAGAGGAGGAGAACATTTCCTCCCTTCTTGTGGGCTGCCATTAGCCAAAGAATGAAATATGGAATTCTTAGGCGGTAAAGAAGGTTGGAGAAAGGATTGTAAAGATGGAAGAGAAGACAGTAAATTCCAGGGCAATGAGAGGAGGGAAAGGGAAGCATCTGTTTGTAAATATGCATAACACAAAAGTCAGTGATGTTGTTTGTATGTGTGAGTACGTGTGTATAAAAGCTGCACCAGGGTCCTATGTATCCTGGGTAAGCAGTTAACTGGTCATAATTCTCTTCCTCCTTCCTTCCTTTATGGAGATGCCAGTTTTCTCTTTTGGTATGTAATAATAGCCTCCAATATATCGTGGAGAAAATCTCCACACATCACTCTCATTGTCCCCCGTCTCTTCAGCCAATATCTGGTTAGACCAAGACGCCACCCTGCCCTAAATTGTGTCCCATTGCAATTTGCTTCCTTCTAGTTGCTGCTCCTCTCTCTCTCTGTTGCTCTGCCCTAAACACAGGCACAGACATTTCCCTCAATTCCTTGTAATGACACCAGAGACGAGGCTGCAACTTCCATTAGTACCTGTTAAAAGTATAGGAATAACGGAAAGAAACTACCAGAAGGCTTAGAATGAGATACTAGGTATGGCTGTTCTTAGACTCCACCAGCTCAACCCCCTCCATGGGAATTGTACGTTCAGCCACCTCTCTGATTGAATATCTAGTCCTTCTCAGAGTTGAGGTAACTACCCCCAATACCTGGCCTGGCCTCAAGTGGGAAGGACCAGCTTACCTCACTCCAGAAGTAATCTCAGTCCTCTCTCTCCTAACGACATCTGTCTCACCCTCTGGTTAACTCCAAGAATGGCAAACAGCTTCCTCCTCGGCTCTCATCTCCATGGTTTGCTTTGTTCCAGGATGACAAACAGTGTGAAACTGGCCCCTCATGAGAATCCTGTCAGTGCCTCTGTGTCTATTCTTCCACCTCTCTTCTCCACTCTCTCCAGGTATGCCTTTTTACTGGTCTGTGCTCAGCATCCTTTTGGCCTTTCTGCATTACAATGATCTGTGCTCATATATTCTCTCATCTGTAATGAGCACCTTGAATCCTACCCACCCAACTCCGATTTATCCTTGTTTTCTCCCACAGTGTGGTATCCTGAAAAAAACCATAGAACATGGCATCATCCTGAGTAGTTGGACTGAAACAAATTAGGTCAGCTGGGCCTTTTTCTGCCCAGGTCTCCAAAAAGAGCAACCAGAGAGTCACTGGCTTCCCTAGGAGAAGGGTATGCCTTTCAAGGACTTCCACAGTGTCCCCACCCCTAACCCAACCTGGCTGAGGTATAAATAGACACCTGGCAGCTTCTTGCCCTAACCTGCTCTTTTCTTTCCAAAATGGACAAGCCCCTGTTGCTGGGACTCCCCATCCTGCTCTGCTGCATTAGAGGTGAGTCCCTAGGGTTGACAGTTGGTGAGGTGTGTCCAGGATACGGGAATGGGTCAGGGTTCCTGTGACAAAGGTCCTCTTCTGGAGGCCATATGATCATTCTTTTTAAAAAATTTTTAGGGGCGCCTGGGTGGTGCAGTCGGTTAAGCGTCTGACTTCAGCCAGGTCACGATCTCGCGGTCCGTGGGTTCGAGCCCCGCGTCGGGCTCTGGGCTGATGGCTCAGAGCCTGGAGCCTGTTTCCGATTCTGTGTCTCCCTCTCTCTCTGCCCCTCCCCCGTTCATGCTCTGTCTCTCTCTGTCCCAAAAATTAAAAAAAACGTTGAAAAAAAATTAAAAAAAAATATTTTAATGTTTATTTTATTTCTGAGAAACAGAGAGACAGAACATGGGTGGGGGAAGGGCATAGAGAGAGGGAGACACAGAATCCAAAGCAAGCTCCAGGCTCTGAGCTGTCAGCACAGAGCTTGACACGGGGCTCGAACTCATGAACCATGAAATCATGAGCTGAGCCGAAGTCGGACGCTCAACCAACTGAGCCACCCAGGCGCCCCTCATATTACCATTCTAATACCACGCCTTCCACTCACAATGCATCACATCCCTGGGACCCTTCCCCTTATAGGAGGAAATAAGTGGATTGAGAAGATTTTCATAGAAGTTGTGAGACGGGGTTTGTAACATGAGGTCTGCAGAACATGTATCTTTTTCCCCAAGAGTATTGTCTGGGTCACTGGCAGACAGTGAACACGCATGTGAATACAAATGGATCACGGTGTGGGAGGGGGAAGAAGGAGGCAGGGGAGGAGATGAGCCAGGCAGTGTGGGCATCGGGTGTTGAGAGGAACCCAGAGATAGCCCTTGAATTTCAACACTCAGCAACCTCTTACAGCAGGATGGGCTGGGATGGGAGCTGATTTGAAGTTTGACAAAACAATATCAGCAGCAGTTGGCAAGGCTGAGGTAAGTGTAATAAAAGGAAAGCAAAAGGGAAAGGAGAGAGTGGAATATTGACTTTACAGGCACTGGTTGGCCAAACCGAAGTGTAGCAACCTCGTGAATTTCAGATGATTTTCCGCATTGTCAGCTTCCAGGAACACAGAGATAAGAAAGCCACCGTGGGTCAGTTAAAAAGAAGGGAATGAGGGGGAGAAGATACACTTATCTTTCTCTTCTGGTCTGTGCTACACCCTAGAGTGATGGATAGGATATCTGGGAGGCCCCACCGGAGTAAAGGGAATTGAAAGGAGGGAACAGGTGCAAAGATACCAGGAGGCAGTTGCCGGGGCTTTGGAGCGACAGGAAGAGCCTACAGTGGCCCCAGGTGAAAAGCACAGGATGGACCCCATGTGTTACGAGCATCACAGGTGCCCTGGGCAAGGCTAAATCTCAAACAAAATTGCAGACTGATTTTGTTTCTCTTTGCCAATACAGTTCATGAACTATTTACTGATGAAGACTATTATCCTGGTGAGTCTGAAGAGTCTGAAGATTATCTGTCTTGATTTAGTTCTTTTCCTTACCCCTCCACCTTTCTTTCCCCTCCCGTTTTTCCATTCTAAATTCCTGAAACCATAAACTGCAGTCCTTCTCCTGGCTTAGCCTCTCTTAATAGAGGCAGATGCCCACACTCAATGGGTCCCTGGTAAAGACTTCTGGGCTCCAAGCAGACTTCAGACCTGAAAGGGGGAGATGGGTTTTCTCATGGCAGTGTGAGATCACTTCTCACTTCTATTTCTTGACTCATTAGCCCAAATGACAGGAATCGTTCAGTGTAGGATGTGCCACTTGCAGTTTCCAGGAGAGAAGTGTTCCAGAGGCAGAGGAATATGCATTGTAACAAGTGAAGAGTCTTGCACAACTGGCAGGATTTCCAAGAGTAAGTTGTGGGGTGGGGGTGGGGGAAGCCGACTGGGACATACGAGCTCTAGGAAAAAGCAGGGACCGTATTCCGCCACAGGCAGCCCCAGCCCTGGGATGACTGCTCTCTCTACCCTGAACATAGGCCCTAATGAAAAATAGATGGAGGTGGTCACCAAGGGGTGGGGATCTATAGCTATGGAACCAGTATTCTGAGCAGCTTGCAGAAAGCGGGAAGACTGCACGGAGTGGAGAGGGGAGGCGCAGTATGGCCAGTGGACACTAGGTGGTTGTTGGAGGGTGGAAGGCAGTTCCTTGTCTGTCGCTACCTGGACTTCCATGGGGACGGGTCAGTGTCAGCATTAGATACTGTCTAGATGGCCTCTGTTTTCCTACCCTTCGTGCTCAGTGAGCCCTTGGCATTTATCACGCTCACTTAAACCAGTTGTTGAGATTCTCCACTGAGATACCCAGCTTTGGAAGTCCCTCAATTGCCTCTGTCATTACCTCCCCACCCCCAGGAATTTTTTCAAACTTCTCTGCCATTGCTTTTCTTCTGGAGAGCCCTCAACTTGTAGCAGCTTACAGCTCTTCACACTTGAATAACAGAGACTTGAACTACACACAAGTTGTTCTTATGTCCTGGTATGGAAAGAGGTTTCTTTGCAGAAGCCTCTCTGCTAATACGTCTCTTCTTCCTTCTGCAGAAGACGGTACTCCATGGTTAATGTTCATGGGCTGCCTGAAGAGCTGTGCTAATGTGGGCAAAATAAAATGGAGTGTCTACTTGGTGGAGTTCAGGTGCTGCCGGGGCTATGACTTCTGCAATGAATACCTATAGAGATTGCCTGTCCTTCAGTAGCTCCAATCTCTGGATGATACTGTTGCCTCCGCCTCCTTGCAATGATTTCTTAAAAAGCCACATTTCCGGTTGCAAACACATGGTTCTGCCTTCTGCGTGTGTAAGAAAAAGTCCTCTCCTTTTCTAGACTTTCTCTCTTGATCCCTGGTGGCAGGTGGGATTTGGGGAAGGGGGGAGGACAAACACCTTGGGAGTAAGATCAATGTCTCCCACAGGTTATTGCAAAACCCAGTGCTTCTACTGTGTAGCCTAAGGTGCTTCCAGAAAGGGAAGACGAGAATCGGGGGCAATTCTTTTCCCGACCTTTCCCCTTCTTTCTGAGGCAGGATATGTTCCTTCCTTTCTTCTTCTTAAATGTTTATATCTCTTGGTATTATCCTTCCTATCTCACTCCCACGAACGCTTATAACCCTGGCCTCACAGGGAGGGAAGTAGCAAAATGAAGAGCTGGCCTGAGTCTTCTTGAATTTTGTTCACGAATGCTATTCCTAGGGTGAGGAGAAGGGTAGAGCGTAGAAAAGAATTTGCATCAGAATCCTGAAGAAAGAATAATTTTCTGCCTTCCAGAATGAGACTCTCTTCAGGGTTACGGGTTGGAGAAGAAGTGGAGAAGTCAGCTATGGGATCTAAAGACAGTAACTTATACCCTGCTTCCCTGGCAAACTCACCAGAAAGCACCCTTAGATATGCAAGAGCTGTGGGATACTTTCAAGGAGATGAGTCCAGAAGGAGTAGCCACACAAATGTTACCATGTGTCTAGCATTGCATGAAAGAAGCTGAAATTTGTGGGATCTGAGTAAGCCATGTGAGTCTGGCCCCTGGACGTCTCAACAGCAATCTCTGTACAGAGCTGTCCCCATGAGCAGATGCCTCTCCCCTTCCCCCACTCTACACACACTCAGGCTTTCCGCTCTGTCTAGTTCTAGTACCCTGGAAAAATAGGAGTGAGCATGAGCATGCGCACAGGATTGAGACTAATTTCTAACAGCCTGGTAGGCTGAGGCCTATTTATGTGATTATGTAAATATAAATTCACTTTTCCTGTTTTGTTCAACTGATTATCATTTGTTACTGAATCTAGAACTAGGGTGTGTGTTCAGGGTCTGTATTCTGCCACTGTTCCCTCTACTTCCTATGTTTTTCCCTCCAAAATGTTAAGAACAGAGATGTAGTCCAATTGGACAAGAAAATTAGGAAGTGTTGTACATGCGACAATATAGGAGTCAGAATCTCATGAAAACCAAAGATGGGAAACACAATAGGGCAAGGCTCAGAAAGATTGGACCTAGAAAGCTAGTCTGGGTAGGATGAAGGTCTGGGGGCTTTGCCAGAATGATTTAGGAAGCTTCACTTCAAACTTAGCTATAAATGTGTGTTGGTCAACCTCCAGCTGTCAGTATCACTCTGTATCTATCTGCTACTCTTCCCTACTCTTCCCGCCACTGGCTAACTTCTTCACTCTACATTGTTTCTCTCCTCTAATTTGAAGTTTCCAATTTTGACTTGCTTGGGACTATTCTGGGCGCTAATTACACATCACAGTAATTCCCCTGGTAAAGCACTTCATCGTTGGAGCCTACTGCCAGCACCTCCGTTCTCTCCATATAGACTAATCCTGAATGGAAGAATCTAGCATATTTTCTGCTTCTCATGATACTAAAGTATAACACTCCTGCTAACATGATACAATTTGGAGGAAATCCAAGCATACATATATTGCAAACTTTTCAAAATTAATTTGTCTTTTAAAATATTTTATTATGTTTATGCAAATACAATGTGGTAGAAAGCAGTAAGCAATCATAAGCCTGGATCAGGAGGGATACTACTAAAACTGGGATAATATTATATATGTACACATAACTGTACAGCCAAATATGAAATGTAATAGTGTCTGTAGATTCCAACATAGGAATGCAAGCATAGTAAAAGAAAAGTTCAACCCAAAGTGAGTGAATAATACTTTAGGGAGTCATTTTTGTCATTTCATAGCTTATTATTTTTGTTAGGACACCACAGTGAAGTCTGAAACTCTTATCTTCCCTTGACATAATTTGTTGCAGGGATGTGTCAATAGATGAAAAGCACTCAGCTTTTTACCAATGAATTCATTGAATGCAAGGAGATATTTAAATATTTTTCAGAACTGGGTGGGAAGGGACTCCTCACATGCCAGGAAACAGAGTAGCTGGCCAATACCAGGCCAAGTGCTTACCCTGATGTCCTTGGCTTTGGCCATGAAAGCAAGAGAAGATCATTAGAAACATGGTAACTTTGGTCTGTGTGGTCAGGAGGAGCCGTGGTTGGTACAGTTTCCCCCAAATGGTGGCAGAGGCACAAAGACTGTTTGTCTAGTTCACGGCAGTTAGAGTTTTCTATCTTCACATTTACTTTCTCAAGCCCCTACTTAACACAAGCCTTTCCTGCCCTCCAACAAACCCAAAGATTTCTCCTAAAATCTCTTGCAATTTCGTGTCCCTATTTCTCTCCAGCCTGCTTTCTCTTGATCTTTGCTCAGAAGCTCTACCAGAAAAATACTTTGCCCCCTTTGCCAAAGATTTGACCCCAGGCTTAGCATCAGAACTTAAGGATAGTTACAGATTGCCAGACGCTATCAGGAGGTAAAGACAGGAATCCAACCAGAAGGCAGACATGGGTGTTCTTATTTTCCTCTTAATGGAAAAACACTGACACAGGACATACAGAGCTTCCATGGGTAGATCTGCTGGAAAAGAGTAGAGAGTGGGGTCTGGGTTTGAGATAATGTGAGATGATGTTGCCATTGTGTAGGGGAAGGGCAAAAATTACTGGGAGGATAGTTTAAGGTTATGGTAGGACATCATCATGGGTAGTGTGTTCTTTATCTTCTCCAAAAAGCTCTGACTTTTCCAAAATATCATGTCCAGTATTACACATATGTTTATCAGTGCAGCAAAATGTTTCTCTCAGTAAGTCATGGTATACTTGGAACATTCCCTCTTCACAAGGATTACAAGACAGTTTTGTATATCAGTACAGATATCTCCCTAAAGAGAGAAGAAAAGTAAAGGTAATCGCCTTACTTAATCACACTGTCTCCCTGGCAATGATGGCTGTCAAGAATCTCATTGGTTTTCTGTAGCCAGGGATGAGCCCTCAAACTGTGCCTGCATCTCATCTCAGTCTCTCTAGACAGGACCGGGCAAAAGACATCTGCCTCCCACACAGGCTCCACCCGAGGTCGGGGTATGGAGAATTCCATTTTCCCAGCCTCTCCATGGGCCCTGTTCCCTCCACACCTTGACCTCAAGGAAGGTGGGCACCACTGGTAAAGTCTTGTGTCTCTCTCTACCTCTCACTTACCTGTAATTGGATCATTGTAGTAATAGTGATCTGTGGTGCAACTCTTATTGGATTTGAGGGATAAATTAAACTTCCAGCAACGTTTCTTGGGACCACGGCATTTGAATCCATCATAGAAATCACAATCATGGCAAAATCGAAGCCCTAAAGAAAAAGGGGAAAGATTTAAAGCAGAGCTCTAGAGAAGGCAATTCTTCAGAAACCTGCCCCATTGTCAACATTTACACTGGCGAGGGGCAGTCCTCACAGGAAGGAAGTTGACACCCTCCCCAACTTCTGCCAGGGGTCCTTACTCCCTTATAGCGACAGCTATAACCCTATATATTCAAACCCCCTCCCGCCTTCACCCAAGGCTGGGGGCAGAAAAAAGATTCCAGGGCAGTGAGTGAAAAGACTGGAAAAGAGTCAGAGAGATACAACATGTGAAAAAATCAGGAATGTCCTCTCTCCCTGTGGCATCATATATCCAAAAACTGCAAACCAACTACACCATACATTTTGATTTGGGGCCATGGATATCTGTGAAAAGAAGAAGAAAATTCTCCTTGAGCCATTTTACAGTATCCCCAAAAGCCAACTTTAGAAACCACCTCCATTTCCTCCCCATATAGCCTCTCACCACCCATCACTGCCTCCCTCACAGGTTTTACCTTCATCCATGAAGACCACTGTGAAAATGCCCAGCAGAAGCAACAGCAACAGCCTGAGACCCATTTCTGAGACATTCCCAGTGGGAGGTTCAGTTTTATTTATTCCCGTCACCTGCCGTCAGGCATCGCACTAGATCCCAGTATCATAAATTTCAGATCGAGCCACCTGAATCCTCTCTACCACGTTCCCAGGAGACGGTACATCCTGTCTGCATTTGCATTTCTCCAGATACTTGGAACTCAGTCCACCCAGACAGCTCACTTCACTTTAGTAGATCTAGCATAAGGAACTGATTAATGTTGGTGTAGAATCTCTCTCCCTAGTACCTCTTCACTTCGCTTGTCGTTCTATTCGTTGGCCTACACGGAGCATGTCTAAGCCCACGTTCCAGGACAGCCTTTCACATGTAGCAAACCTGGGGGCCCTGAGCCTTGAGAGGGAGTGGCTCAGTCCCTTTCAGGTACCAGAACCATCCAGACACTGGTCTCAGCATGACCTCCAGCGGTACTCCCTCCCTCCCAAAGTGAGTCGTCACTGCCACCAGGATACTCCAGATGTGGTCTGACCGCCCAGCGTTAACACCCCTCTGAGAGATGGATGGGGCAGCACAAGAAAGGGGGATGCAGAGGTGAAGATGATCAGTTTCCCTTCAGCTTTATTCACTAATTGGTTCAAGGGAGACAAAGACCGGAAATGACTCCAGTGGGGAGACGTACACTGGGGATTATGGGCAGAGAGGAAGACATATTTGGATTAGTCACTAGAAAGGGGACAGAGGGGGGAAGGGAGCAGGGAGGGCTGGAAATGAGCTTTCCCATCAATCCCCTGCCTTTGTGTCACTTCCTGGAGATGGTGCTACACACTTGTGCCTCCCTTCTTCGTCTACTAAGTGTCACTTTATCACCGAGGCTTTCCAATATACACACATGTAAGTAGGAAATATTTGTACATACGTGCAAAACTCCCTTACCACGCTTGCCACGTCCCTTTCCCATTTTCTCCGGCATGCTCAAGCCACTTTGTCATTCTAAGACTTTCCTTATTTATGTTTTCTTGTCTTTTTCCCCTCTCAAGAACGAAAGCGCCTGAATGCAAGATTTCCCTGTGTTGTGTTTGCTGCTTTCTCCTCAGCACTGGGATGCCTTGCAATTATCAGATAGGCAAGACTGATGAAAAAGTGAATGCATCGTTGGTGTGGTTAACCCGAGACACGAGGGAACGGTGAAAAGCCCCTAGTACCAAGCTGCGGGATGACCTGTGGTTGGTGGTCACCACGGAGAAGACAGGCGATGGCAACGGCAGATTCCCCTGTCTTGGGGACAGAGTGAGTGTGGGGCCCACTTACCTGAGTGGACTTATTCCCAGAGCCAGACACATGCTATTCCCAAGTACAATCCCTCACATAATCTTCGCCAGGAGGGTACTCCCTGTACATCTGGGATGGAGGCCCAAGGGTGCGACCTACCTGCTACGTGACCTTAAACAAGTTACTCATTTCTCTGGGATCTGGGACCTCACAGGTGAAATCAAGGGCTGTCAGAGGTATATCAGCTGTAGTTATTAGGACTTAATAAATTCACATATGATAATGGTCAGTAAGACCCTACTTGGTGGCAAACATTCTTGATTTCTTTGACTTCTCTGAACAACCACATAGCTTACAAATAGTTGACCTCATCTTCAAGTGTGCTTGAAGCCCAAGTACACTTAGAGATGAAGTATTATTCCCCAGGGAACAAGGTTGGACCCGGTGAGCCATATCCTTCCACTACATCATGCTGTTTCTTTCCTTTACAATCCGAGAAGGGTTGTACATGATACGTATGAGATTCTGGTTCCTTATTGTGAAAATTGTGACTTTATCAGTGTACCTGTCTTCCCTGTTGAATGTGAGGCCCAGAAATGGTGGGAGATTCAGGAGCCGGTGCCCTGGTAAATCCCTTTAAACGGGCTAACACCTGAGTTGCCTTCCAGACTCAGCCAGAAGCTTTGGCTGGCTGCTTAGCCTTTCAACACTTCTGTCCTCAGGATCTTAGTGTGTGCCTCCGACAGACCTTGGACACCCGTGGCCACCTCTCCCTCCCACAGAGAGAGAGCATGTGCTGTCCAGGCATTCTTTCCTCCCCGCCTCCATATCTGAGCCCCCAGAACTAGGTTCCCAGCCCTCCCCTGGGGCCTCTCCTGGGGCTGAGGGTCTGCACCTTCTCCCCTCCACCCCTGGCTCCTATTTTTCCAGCCTGCTGCCCCTTCCTAGATGGGTGGAAGAACTTGCTGTCCTGCTCTTTGCTGCTCCCGCCCTGCCCAGAGGCTCAACCTGTACCCACGTCCTATCTCTGCAGACAGAGGAGAAGGTAATGGACTTGAGGCCACATTTGGCTCCTTTGTAGTCAGCCGTGGTTGGGCTCACTTTGTCCCTGCAGGAGGGCAGCGAAGGGGCAAAGGATACAGGGAGAAAGAAAATAAAAGCAGAACACCACCCCCACTCACACAGAGAAAGTTCCCTGCATAAAGCAATATCCCCTTCAACCATTTCTGCCAACCTCAGACAAGCACTTTCCCTGGCCCTGCTCAGCAGGGAACACACCTGAGGGTGGGATCATCTGGTCCCAGGTGAGTCCACGACAAGAGGGAGCCTTGCTTTATTACAGGACTCCATCTGAGCCCCACACACCCAGAAAAAAGGACATGTGTGATGGAGGTCCAGGCACGTTTCTCCTCCATGACCATTTCCCTTGCACGCAGTGCAAACCTGCCTCACTGC